AGATGTGTATAAGAGCAACTAACACGCGCGTGAGTAATTCGTCACATACGCTGACGGTTTATGGTCTGGTTGCTATGGTTTTGTGACGTTCAGCGTGTAGGAAAGCATGTGCGCCTAGAATGTCGATGCCAGAGTTATAACCTTTGATGTCCCGAGATGTGCGTCCTTCTGTTGAATTGCCTTGTTCCCACAAATCTCTTAGGACTCCCCCCTTCCCCAACCTTATGGAACCCTTGCCATGGGCTCGAGTTGTCTTGAATCTTCAGTGTGCTTTCTGTTTTTTGTTAGTTGTATAGTCTGGATGGAAGAGCATTGTTAAAATGATGAGTACAGGTACAACAAAGTAAGGCAGATAAAATGAGGCTAGCATTAGACGTTCATCCGACGTTTCTGGACCAGGATACTTGGAATCGCTGAAATCATGGAATAGAATATGCCCCAATATTGCAATAAGTGTTGTGGCAACGTGCGAGGCGTAGACTAATGCAGGAATGCGGATCCAGCCACACCCACCTGAAATAATATGAAAATAAAAATATGCGTATTTTAGACCAGTCGCTTCTCAATAGTGGAAACGCTATGAGAAGGGCTAATGAACAAAATAAAAAATATAGCAATGGTGAAAATTAGTTTTAGTTTATTAACATGTGTACAAACAGTATGTTAGCAGAAGGGGGAACGTTTACATAATGCATGAAAATGTTGTTTTAAAATAACATGCAATATTTTATTTTTAAAATAGATTTTCATGACCAATTATAATGCAAGCATGGATATAATAGCCATTTTTATGTAACCAAGTACCGTCAGTACTTTAGTTGACTTCACCAAAAAATGGAGAATGTTTTTTCAAAAAGCAACGTTTTTTATGTAGGGCTTTATGTAGGGTTTCTGAGGGGTGGGAGGGGGTATCGAAAAAGAGTACAATCTGTACACTTGTCAAAATGTTGATAATTGTAAACGACCACTGAGTATTCATATTGCATTGAAATACAAATACTATACAATTTTATCATTAAATACTAACCTGCAGTTGATTAAAAATTAGTTTGAGGGTCTATGCAATAGGATACTGTACAGGCAAAGTACTATTTATGTGTTCGATACTATAATTGGCGAGGACACTCAACAATCAGTATTAGAAATTTGGTATACCACAAAAAATTTGATGTCTGACCCAATGAAAACTTAAAAATGGGCTTATGGTACATGCCCCTTCACCAAAAAAAATCAACAATAAGCATTGAAAAAATAAAATTTAACTTCTATTTGCACATAAATTCTTTTTTGGCCTAAATTAATATATGCAAATATCTGTTAATTGGCAATACTTTTTGTATGAAATTCAATTTTATATTTAATATAAAATTATTAGGCTTTGTCCAGATAATCAAATTTTCTTTGACAAGCAAAAAAATGTTGTGAGTAGTTTGGCGCAATGGAAAAGATTTTGGTTTCCCAACCTTGAGGTCGGGGTTTCAATCCCTCGCTGTGCATTTCGCTTGTGTCCATTAGAAGCAAGGCACATTATTTGCATTGCACTTCTCTCCACCCAGGAGTATAAATGGGTACCTGGTGGGGTTGCCTGCTACTGCGCCAATATGGCAGCAACACTAAAGTATGTGGACCCAACGACCAGGGAAAAACTTACAGCGCTTCGTAACTGAAAGGGAAAGTGCTACACAAGCAACAAGTAAGAACTATGCCCATATATAGTCATGATACGCCCATATATGGTTATGATGTGATGTCATCATGACCATATTCAGGCATGTCGCATGTGTTTGTTAAATAAAATTTGATACAGGTCTTAAAGATTTGTCCACACTATCAAATTTTCTTTGACAAAAAACTGTTGTCTGCCCATACATACAGTAGTCATAATGTGCCTATGGTTATGATGGAATGCCAGTCAATTTCGAGCGAATGTCAGTTCAAGCGGATGCCAGTTCGAGCGGATGCATTTAGTGCGAACTATAACAAGGGCGAATTTATCGTCGCCCTATTCTTGTATTGTTTGTTTTAAATGCAAAAAAATGCTCTGTGCACTAGAGTTTTGAAATGTTTTTGGTACTTTTTGATAAATATTCCATGTTTGAATTACAGTCTTGGCAAATCTGACTACCAGATGGCCGCTAGCAAGCACTTATATTTTAAAACTATAGAATTTCGCACGTTTCAGGTGAATTCACGGTTTTTGTCACCAGTTGGGGTTTTATATTTAAAAAAAGCAGATTATATTTGTAATTGAATTATATAGTTTTTTGTAACTGTATTTGTAGATTTACGATTTAGGCCTATATTATATTATATGGGAGTAACTGTATTGTTATTCACCATAGAAATTTAAATTATTTTTACGTATCTAGGTGTCAGAAGGTGCACAAGTCATTGGTGTAGTAGTAGTGTTACACAGGGGCGGATCCAGTAGAGTGGAGTGGGGAGGCAGCTCTTCATGACGGGGGCCCCGGCCCCCCCTGGCACCATCCCTGTTCTATATATAAGGCTATAGGCTTTTCCCAGAACCCGCCGGGGCTTATCCCCTGGCTCCAGTGGCGTATCTAGAAGTCTTGAAATGGGGGTGCTGATTATACACATCTAGATGTGTATAAGAGACAGCAGTTGAAGGGTGCCAACTCGCAAAATAAGTTGATTTTTAGGGGGGGGAGGGTGCGACTGGGGGTGTGCAAATAGTTTTTGGAGGGGCATGCACCCCCTGCACACACCATTGCCTGGCTCCCAGGCAAAGCTTGAGCCTCGGTCATATGCAAGTTGTTAGCTCAAAATAGTAAATTTTTAAAGTAATTCGTACATAACTCGCACAGGCTGTTGTTCGCACAAGTGGATCTTTTTCCCACATGAACTAGCATCCGCTCGAACAAATTCTCGAAGTGGCATTCGCTATAATGTAATGTCATCATGACCATATTTAAGCATGTCACATTGTCAAATAAAATTTGATAGTCTGGACAGGGCTTTAGATTTATGATGTGGAAGTGTGAAAGTGAAGATTTACAGATGGTGAAGAAGTAGGCCTATGCTAATACCTTTGTAAAATGCATAGGTACCCAAAAAGAAAAATGGTAGCTGCAGAAATATTTCTGAAAACACAAAAGATTTGAACCACATAGGAGGATTGGCCATCATTGCATCTTTGTATTCCATAGTGTACCAGTCTAACAATTCAATAAGCTGTAAAAAAAAAAACAAAAAACAACAATATTGTTTTTCTTTATTGTTTTTTTTTATTTATTCAGAATTCAGACAGCCACAACAACAATACAATGCAAATATTCTGGGATAAAAAACAATAAAGTAGGCAATCGGCCGACTTTACAGTATTTCCATCGTGGTCCCTGAAACAATATGCTATAATTCTGTATCTGTTGAATACTGCGACAATCTCATCAAACAGAATATTTTTTTACATAAATACCAGTATTATTTTATTTTTTTATTTATTTATTAAGGTATAACAAAAAAAAACAATAAAACATTAAAATAACATCAAAAAATACATTAAAATACAAAAATAGCCTATATTGTATATACAAATTTACTAAGAATGGATTACTGCACTTTAAGAAGATATTTAAGAAATTAGCTAAATATAAGTTGTAAAATTTACAAAAAATATAAAGACAATAACTCATTAAAATAACATCAAAAAATATAAAAAAAGTCAATACGTTGTGCATCTTATTGCGAATTAATTAGTTGAACAATGAAAGGAATAGCTGAGCGTTTATATCTATCAGTATTGCACTTTGGCACTTCAAGGGTCCTGGCATTAGATCTAAGGTTAAACCTTTGCTTGTGGCAAGGAGGGAGCATGTCTCTGTGTTGGGCAGATTTAAGAAGCCCTTTACCAAAAGAGAGAACAAGGCTTTCCCTCCTTGCCGCAAGCGAAGGAAGTTTAGTTTGTTTCAAGGCTAAATCATAAGAAATATAGTTATTTCTCAGTATAATTCGCAAAGCTCTTTTTTGTACAGACTCAATTTTATATGCAAGTTTCTTTGTAATTCCCCCATGCCATACCGGGCAAGCAAACTCAAGAATAGGTCTAATGTAGCATGTAAAAACCCTGATTAAGTCATTCAAGGGTG